AGCCGCTCCCAGTTTCTGTGGTGACATTCATCAACAAGCTCTTTGTCCTACTGCTACACCTCCATCGCTTCTTCTTTCTCTTTCTGTATTTTCACCCCAGCTATCCCCTTTTCCTGCTGACAGCTCGCTCAGCTCCTTCCCTTCTCTTTGGCTCTTTGATTTCCCTCCCCCACATGGGAGATTAACTCTCTCCCTGCTGACTCTGCATCTCTGTGTCGGCTGTAAACACACAGTGTGAGTCAGAGAGCACCTGACTGCAGAGAGCAGCGATGTGCAAGAGACAATCTGGAGGGGAGACTGAAACATGGGGTGGACTCTCCGCTCAGGTTTCTCCATTTAGGCAGCTATAGGTTGTGCTGACTTGTTTTTTTAACGGCACAGTTGTCATTTTACGCCATTTTATTGGAAATGGGGAATGCTGAATCAGCGTTCACACTGTTGTTTTTGTTGTTTGTATTTTTTCATACGATTTTTACCAATCGAAGAGTTTCTGCATACGTGGTGCTATTTTAGCTCGTCTTGCAGCAAAACAGTCAGCTCACACAGGAAATGGGTAGTATGACTTTTGTTTTTTTGTATCTTTTATACTTTTCAAAATAAGTACATTTATTTAGAAATATGTTCCCTGTATAAATAGGTTCAGATCACTTTAATTACTTTAAAAGTATTCTTCTCTTAAAAATAATTTATTTACTTGGGGGAGTGGTAGTGCAGACATTAGAGAAGGTGGTTCTGTGATTGGAAGGTTGCCAGTTTGACTCCACGGACCGACAACATCAAAATGTGGGTGGAAAAGGTGAAACCCCCACACCTGCCTCCACCCTCATTTGCCCCAGTTTGGGCCCTTGAGCAAGGCCCTTAACCCCCACCTTCTGCTCTCCCCGGTGCCCTAGATGGCAGCTCTCTGCTCCACACAGAGGGCTGTGGTAGCTCGGTGGTTCGTGGTGGCGTCGGGAACGGCGCCTGGCGTAAAAACAATTGTCATGTCTTCGTGTGAGTTAGTTCACTGTGGCGAACCATGAAGACGGGAGCAGACGAAAGAATAAAACAAAATATTTGTTTGTTTATTTGTTTTATCTTTTAGCTAACAGTTTTAGCTGCTTTTCCATTCAATTTATTATTTTAGCAAATTTGTGGCTACTTTTAGGTTTTGACTAGCCTTTTCCTGCATTTTGCTTTTAGTTGCCATTCTTCAAAATTTAGCAATTACATCACTTTATATATTGTTGGCTTTGAGCTACTATATACTGGGCAGCTGTGGCTGAGTGGTTAGAGCAGTCGTCCTCCAATACTAGAGTTGGGGGGTCGATTCCACCCGCAGTCACGTGCTGAAGTGTCCCTGGGCAAGACACTGAACCCTCATTGCCTCCGATGTGTGTCCCATTGGTGTATGATTGTGATAAAGCACTGATTATTCGTTATACAGATTTATTAGAGTGCTTTATGAATGGGTAAATGAGGGCACAGTTTGTAGTGTAAAGCACTTTGAGTATCTTCACAAGATATCTTCGCTATATAAGTGCAGTCCATTTAACATTTACTATTTTGCAATTTTCATTGTTTAGCTACCATTTTGCTAGTTTTAGCTTTTAACTAGCCTGTTGTTACATTTAGCTTTTAGCTAGCTTTTTGCTACTTTTCGGTTCATCTTCTTGCTTATGTTTTGAGTTAGCCTTTTGTTCGTATTAGCTTTAAGTTATCATTTGGATACTTTTAGCTTTTAGCTGGCTTTTTCCTACTTTTAACCAACCTTGCTTTTTCTTTAAGCAAACAATTTGCTTGTTTTAGCTTAAACAACTCACTTTCTTCAGCAGATTTTAGCAGTCATTCTTTACAGATCACAGCAATACGTTTGTTATTTTTTTAAATAAAATAATTTGTTTAAGGTAGATTAGTGATAACCTACTGCCCCCACAGGCAGCAGATGGTTTTATCCAAATTAACAAAGTTTAATACCGTACTCCCTAAAATATAATTCATTTTAGTAGTTCCACATAAAACAGCAACCTTTAACAAATTACGCTGTAAAATGATACATAGAGTGTCACAACAAGAGAACTCCCAGTGCACAACTTTGTTAAGGGATGTTTCAAACCTCCGCCCCTCTTCTGACAACACCAACATGTAAAATACATAAGCAGATATTCTAAATCATCTCAAAATGTTATGTATAACTTTAAAACTCTTCTTCGTCTTCTTTTGACAAATCACTTTTCAGGGGTCACCACAGCGAGTCATCCTCCTCCGCCTGTCCCTGTCCTCTGTGTCCTCTGTCCTCACTCCAACTACCTCCATGTCCTCTCTAACTGCATCCATATATCTCCTCTTTGTCTTTGTCCTGGAAGCTGCATTTTCTAACATCCTTCTACCAATATACCCACTGTCCCTCCTCTGGACATGTCCAAACCACTGTCCTTCCTCTGGACATGTTCAAACCACCTCAGTTTGACCTCTCTAACTTTATCTCCTAGTTTTTCAACCTGTGCTGAAGAAAACAGAAAATATCAAATGAATTTTAAAAGACTTTTGGTGTCAAAACACAAATTTTGGCCACTTATGCGTTTTTCACTTTACCTTTTCAAACGAAATAGAGCTCCTGCTCTCAATTTATAAATAGCAAATGCTCACTAAAATTAAACCTTGAAATAATAATAAAAAATATATTTTATTTATTGGTTCATTACAATTTTAATGTCAGAGCTTTCAAACTGAATTTGTGACTGAAGTCATCGCTCTAAAGGTTTAAAAACTGGTTTCATCTGAACATCACAAACAGAAAAATGTTTTGACGACAGAGGAACACGCTGGAAAAATATTGCCTAATTGTAGAGCTGTATTGTTCCCAGCATGCATCTCTTTTGTCGCAGAGGGAACGTCAAAACGTTTCCAGCACCTCAGAAGACATTTTATAATTCATCAAGTGACGCTTTAGAAGTAGCTCTCACAACAGTCAGCTGAGCGAAAACTGACTGCACTTTATTATCTGGGAGAGAGACGTGTGAAAACTGAGGTGTTTACCCTCAAATGGCTGCCAGTTCACACGCATGTGACTAAAATTATCCAGCATACTCGTTAAACATGCAAATCTCTGCTTATACAACTGATGGCGTCAAGGTTTATAAAAGTTCAAAAGAAACGACGTTGTTTAAATCCGTGGAGTCAAGTTCATCCATGTCGGCAGTGTTTGAAGGAAGTGAAAGGGCGAGGTTCTGAGGAAAACGTGTGGTCTCAGTGAAGATATGATTTGTACAGAAATAAAAACTGAAGCGTTTGGCTGCCTTATACTGGTGAGAGACATCTCTGAGGTACAGGCTGTAATTTCTGGAGTTGGGTATTTTTATTTTTTTATTTTTTTGTTTTTTATTTATAAGAGAGAATGAATAATTCTGGTGGAAATCTTCACCATAAGGTAATTGGAATTTATTTGGGATCTATATTGAATAGTTAATCGCATGATATAACGAGGCAGGTGGTGAAAGAGTTACATTTTTGGGGGCTCATCCGGGATTTGTTTTATTCTAATTAGATTATTTTGTGTAAATATTTTTTTGTATAACTCCCATTTCCTCTCTGCATGCGTTCCAAGCAAGCTTTTGGGTTGAATATTTTGCTCTTCAGGAGAGTTTGCGACCTGCTGTGCCTCATGCGCAGACCTGAGGACAACATGCTGCTGGGCTGATTTTGAACAATTTTTTTTTGTTTGTTGCTTTTGAACAAAATTACCATCCAAAACATCACTTCTTTATACTTTTTGTAATGTTATGAACCCTTTGATTAGGATTTACTGGCTGTGAAATCATGTTCTGTGATGTCACAACAATAAAATACTGATAATAATAATAATAATGTAATAATAATAATAAGAAACATCATAATGTCTAATGTGTCTAAGCTGAGGGTAAAATTTATAAGAAGCCCTTAGAACAGCCAAAATCCTGTAGCAGTAATAAGACAATAAACAATAGTAGATAAACATTAATAATAAATAGCAAGGTATAATTTCAGAAAGTATTAACAATATCAAAGGTAGCAATAAAAAATAGCAAAATATGAGGCTATGTAAGTTCTTGGTACATTCCTGGCAAGTACCAGGTACGCACTCAGTAAGTACCGGGCTGTATCGTGTATTGTTTATATGTACTGGTATAAAACCAGTGCAAATAAGGAACAGAACAGATTTAAGTAGGTGCTTAAGAATCCTAAAATTTAAACTCATAAAGCAAATTGGAGGTTATTTCATGGTCTCAAATTGTTGTTTTAATATTTAAACTGTTGATAATAATCATGAATGACCAGGTCTTGTCCTTTTATTCGTCTTTTTGTCTCTGTTTGTCTTTGAATATTATTCCATCACACAGAGCTAAAAATGTGCAGCACCTTGAATCTGAAATCAGAAGATTTCTCTGGTACCATTTTTATCCTATAAAAGATATATTTTATTTTACACTCATTTCTTGGAGTTGTGTGGGCCCTGAACTTTCAGCTGTCCAGTTGTTTCTTATTACGCAGAAATCTGAGCGCAGGAGCTCGGGGAGCCGTGGAGAGTTGATGTGGAGCAGTATAACCACACAAGTATCTGAATGCAGACATTCAGAAAATCTGGCAACTGTCAAAGACTGCTAAAGAGCAAGTTTTAATAAAACTACAAAACCATTTTGATGCAGCACAGAGCTGTAAGAAGACAGCAACGCACACACAAAATAGATCATTCAGGATTTGAATTTGCAGCTCAACTAATTTGTAGTCCTGATACTTCTACAGGAATATGATTTTTTTTTTTTTTTCACAGCTCAAGTCTTGTTTGAGTTATTGTTGAGCCTGCAGCTTCAAACGGAGACAGATGTTATTTTTAACCTTGAAAAATAAACCACTCTTCAAACTGAGACAGGCTTCACTGATTTTCTGTGTGACAAAAAAGACCAACTGCCACAGACAAGAACACAAAACACGCACTAATAAGAAAAGGTACCCAGAGAAGAGAGGGATGGGCGAGCTCTTACCTTCCAGTCGCCTGGTGGCATCAGCTGTTCACAGCACTCCTGTTGAGGCAGACAAGCAGATAAAGGAGAAAAAAAACATTAATAAAAGGAAGGAGAAATTATGTCTGAACTTACATACTCTGCAAACTACGAAGCATCCTTTGCTAGTTGTTAGGATGGATAGAGTCACAGGGGTGCAGAACACACACGCATGCACCCACACATACACACACAGAGCAGTTTCCCAGAAGCACTTCAGAAGCTTAGAGCATGAACATTTATCATCTGTTGCTGCCTTGCAGGCAAGAAAAACTAAAATTTTCTGGAATTAGATTACCGTATTTTCACTGAATAAGGCACACCTTTTTGCATAAATTAGCATGACGTGCAACTTATACAGCAAAGTGGCTTGTTTGTTTATTTCCATATTTATAACCCAATTTTTGGCTGAGATCTGATGAATTCATTTCTTCAGACATGGAAAATATTGAACACTACCAACAAAGTCCATGCTCAATAATCCAGGTATACAATCCAACAATTTTCAGTCGGGTCATCTGGACAGTTTTTTTTTTTTTTTTTGGTGCTGAAACGTTTCACCTTCCATCCAGAAGGCTTCATCAGTCAAAAACAAAAAAAAAAACTGTCCAGTTGACCTGACTGAAAATTGTTGGATTGAACACTACCATTTTCAGCCGCTAGAGGGCGCTCGACTAATAAGGCAAGCCAAGAGTCTCATTAATAGGTAAAAGTGGCTATTAATAAGACATTGGGCTTGCCATACAGGGCCACCTTCGTTTTACTCCGAACTCCTGGAGCAAACATCAAATCAGCTGCACTTTGCTGCGCTGCAGGTGAAATGCAGCTGATTTGACAGTTAAAGCGCATTTGTTAAGGAAAAGTTCAACTGAGACTTTACTATAATGTCAAGCAAACAAATAATTGTTTTTAGGTGGGACGCATGACAAACGCAACGCATCAGCAGTGACGCATAATAGATGCGACTTCAGTGACTTATTTATGTTTTTTATTCACTTTATCAGACATATTTGGACTGATGCGACTCATACAGCGGAAGTACGGTAATATTTTTACCTTTTTTAAAGGGTGTTTTATTGTAGTAAAACTCTGGACTCTTTTGGGACTAACATGAGACATGATTTTCAAAAGAAATGGCAAAAACTGTTTGAACTTTTATGATATTTCCACAATAAAAAAAATATATACTGAGTTCCAAATTTTCCATGTTGCAGGAAGATGTTTTCATCAAATCAAACCAGAGCATTATTTTTTTTTTAATCTGTTGCTTATGGACAGATGTAACAAAATAATCCCAACACAAAATATAAATGTAAGTCTAAATATAAATAAATACACATAAGGCACCACTTTCTGTTAGGAGCTTTTTTTAAATGAAAGATTTATAATTGCCTTTAAAGTATTATGAAGTTGTAAACATTCTGTCATTTATAAAACTGTTATAAAACACAGTCCATACAATGAAGCAGACTTTATATTAGACAAGATCAAGTGCTCCACTTTGATTAATTTTTCCACATTTTAAATTTTACATATGAAACATTAGTCAGTAATTCAATTTTAAAACAAAGCAATTTAGTTTAAAAAGTTTTTTTAAAGCATCTACACACTAAAACTGATGGCTTGTTTAAATAACTCAGTTGCTGGGTTGAAGCAGGTCATAGATTGGATTAGTTTGACCAAATGACATATGTCGTTTTCAACATTTTGATCCCCAAAATTGACCAAATCGTACCTGTACTTTAGGATGCAGTAAGGAAGTAAAGTAAAGAAGATGTTTAATCTGGCTGGCGTTGTTAATAACTTTAACTTAAACTTATTAGTAACCCTAATTCAACAATTTATTCATTTGAACCCAAAAGTATGGTGCGTGTTCTTGCCAATAAGTGTCTGTTTCAATAAGAAGAGTGCTGATAATTTTTGTATAAATATTTGGTTATGCTTTATAATATTCATGAATACTCAGTTTGTAAAGCCTTAATAAATGCTTTATAAAGCAGCCCTCGTTAGGAAGTGGTCCTACCTGTATAAACTGATCAAATGCTCTTTCCAGATGTTTAAACGTTTTGATTTTAATGTCCATCACGATTTGTTTCATGATTTGAGCTTAAATATTACAAAGACTCCTTCCTGAAGCGCATGTGGGAAACTGCAAAGAGCTGGATGTTCAAAAATGAAGATTGATGATGTTTTTAAACACCCAACGAGTCCGAGATGCAGTCAGAACCCCTCCTCACAGCAAGTCACCTCGAAACTGATCCAGATCAGCAAACAAAGATGAGCCAAAGCAAACAGCCGAGGATTTCAACTAACGTTTGTGTGATCTGGCCTCAATCTGACTCTCTCAGAACTGAAACAAGACAAAAACTGAGTGAGGTCCAAGGACTGCAGCCAGAGCTGATGTTTGGATATGTACAGTTATATGAAATGTTTCGACGAGCTTTAAATTTAAGGTGATTTCTTTATAATTCTGACAGAATCTGATCTCTGTTTAACAGATAGTTTTAAAAACTGCTCTGAAAACATTTACATGGTCATAATAAACACAGAGACATGTTTTAAAGTCTTCATGGACAGTTAAATACTTTGTTTTAGGGATTCATTCATAACAGGTGATGTATGGAATAAAAAATAACTTTGAGCTTTAGATTAATGTGTAGCGTCAATGGTTTAGTATAATGAATTTTAAAAGATTGTCTTTAAAAAGTTTGATCTAAAGCCCTGTGTTTCCATGTGAAAATATGAGCAAATATGATCAAAAAGAGGTTTTTATGGATCCCAAACGCTCTCAAAATTGAATAATTATAATAAAAACTGGTCAGTTGATCTTCTTTCTTTCTACCTTTCTTCGTTTTTGCACATTGTATCAAATGTCGATTTATAAAAGCACAAATCCAGTCCAACCTAAAACATGTTGGCACTTCTGAATTCGTTCACTTTTCTGAAAAATTCTTATTTTTTATATTTTCATTCTAAGCACACAGACTTTCTTATAATCCTGTGAAGCAGACTGTGCATTCTGAAGGTCATAAAAAGTTTTTCTTTGGACTCTTAACTGTTTTATTATTATTATTATTATTATTATTATTATTATTATTATTATTATTATTATT